TTGGAAGCATAGAAAATTGTTGGTTGCTTCAGCTAATGAGAAATGAGAGACATGCATCTCTTTTTACTACCCTGGTTCTAATATAGTTTGCTTGTCACATGACTTGTCTTCAACTCACTCTGCTGAGAATGCAAAATCGCCAAGTGGGTGAGTGGCGGCGAGGTTAACACTTCCAGGGGAAGGTACTGAATTGAATTATTAAACACACACAACAAGTAGGAGCAGTAATGTAAGAATTCTGAAAGATTCACAAGGAAAAGCAGGAGGGCCAAGGGACTATTGCTGGTGTTCTGACTCTAGAAAACTCCAAGTGGCTATTATGGCTATTTATTAACCCGCAACATCATAAACATTCATCATTAAACATGATGAATGACTCCTAGGTTATGATGTTTAAATACCAATTCATGGGGATTATTATTTTTTTTAATATGTTTTTATTGATTTTTTTTTTTTTTAAGGGAGAGAGGAAGGGAGAAGGAGACAGAGACATCAACATCGATCGGCTGCCTCCTGTATGTCCCCCACCAGGGATTAAGCCCGCAACCCAGGCATGTGCCCTGACCATAAATCGAACCCATGACCTCTTGGTGCACGGGTTGACACTCAACCATCGAGCCACACCAGCTGGGCCCAACTCACAGGGATTTTAAAAGGCAACACTGGCATGGCAGAATTCAAAGTCTTTGGGCAAGTGGTGATTATGTGATTAGATGCAATTTTAGCAACTAAATGTGAAATGATGATGGAAAAAGGAATTTAGAATAAAGAAAACTCGTTTACTTATTTAAACTTTGCCCCATCAATCTGAACTATACTTACTGTTATCACAGGGGCGGCCCCAGTCCCCTATTTGAGGCCAAGTGTTCGCAGGGCTGGCGCCCCCTCATGAGGCCCCTTGTGCAGTGCTCTCAGCACTCATTCCTCCGTGAATTTTGAAAAAGGTGGTCTCTGGGCAGACAAATGAGAAAAAGTCTCTCCCTCACATCATGAGGGACCCAGTGAAAATTAGACAGAGGCACCTCTTCCTCCAAGCCACAGCCCTTCACTGCTCAGAGAATCGAGAGTGTTCTTGTCAAGGAACTCTGGGGTCTCTGGCCCTTTTATCAAGATATGATGGAAGGCTGAAGTCCCCTTTAAAGAGTGGGACTTTTTGTTTGTATCTACTTGCTATAATTGTTGTACTTCAGCTCGTCTATCCTTAAACTTAAAAAAATAATTCAGCACCCTTTATGGAAGGAGAAGAAGGAAGAAAGCAGCTCTTTCTGTCTTCTCAGCAAACACACTTGCGTTTGCTCTCCTGATGAAACAGGATGTCCCAGGGACCTGCTGCAGGTTGTTGAAGGGCACCAACCTGCACATTTGGGGAGTGAGGAAGCCAGGCCAAGATGGCACGGGCTGGCCCTTCTCCCCTTGGGTCTCTAGGCCCAGACTGCCCCTGGCTGTCCCTTTCAAGTCCTCTATAATCGCCACTTAACACTCTGCTCCATTTATCACTTGGCTTTTATCAAAGGCAAATCAAGAGAAAAGGCATTACTTTCTACTTCTCAGTAGCTTGCTAATCTGTCACACTGTGTCTTCAGTTTGGGTGTAGCCCTGTGTCTGCAGAACAAAACGGTGAGAAACCCTCAGTAAGAGGATCTTAAATACTATGATTCCTGCCCTCCCTCCAACCAGGAAAGGATATATTTGGATTTAAGAATGAAAGGAGAAAAAGAAAGAATTTAGGAAAGAAGGTTTATCTGGAGATCAATGAAGATAAATGATGAAAGGAAGCTACTTTGAGGCACAACAGTCTGGTGAGTATGTCTTTAAAAGAAGCAACTAAAAATGCTTTCAACCTAGCAATACCATAAATGTCCTGCTGCTGTCTCGGCTTCCAGATTGTTCCCCGTACTTTCCATGAGCATTCCACTGGGAATTGACTGGAATCTCAGATTAAAACAGCAATAACCCAACTCCCTTGTTAGAATATTTATTTTCTTTTAGGTTTGGAAACTCAGCTGGGATGCGTCTTTAAGTATACGGCATAGCCTCAACCATCATCCTAGGGGCTACATGAAATGTTTCTCAAACAGCAAGATGGGCAGCCAAGTCCTGGAACTGGAGAGGAGGAGGGCATTTCAGCCTCATGTGGAAAGCCCCAGACAACAAAAGCCTGGGAACCTCCACTTTCAGAGGATTCATTCCAGATGTCAGAACTAATGGTGTCACAACGGGGCTCTTGTAGATTACCAAGGAGCTCCCTGAGTCAGGCTGCCAGAGAGTAGGCATTCAGGCAAAATCATCACACTGACCTGAATCCATAATCTAACAACTAATCTATTCTAAGGTTGGCAGCAATAGGATATAGTCCTATATCTCATAGTTACCTATGTGGGAGATCCATCCATCCACCCATCCATCCATCCACCCACCCACCCACCCACTCACCTAATGGAGCAAACCATTCAATAACTGATTGACCATCAGTAGAATTCTGCATCATTTAGAACAGATTGTTAGAATCTGTGGTCTGATTGTTAAACCGCAGAATCTAACCATCTGATCCTAAGAACAGATTCCAGCCATAAACCAATGCTGTCAGTAAATAATGACTAAGTGTCAACCTTGAATTCATCCATCCATCCATCCAAAAATATGTATTGAACACACATCATGGCATAACAGATAAGAATGTAAGCTTCGGAGTCAGACAGAACTGAGTTTGAATCCTGACTTCTCTCTTACTGTGTGATCTTGGCAAGTTGCTTAAATTATCTAAGCCCTATATTCCTTATTTGTCAAATAGATGTAAAACAAGTAGTGCCGTGAGAATTAAACACGGTAATTTACCTAGAGGACTTCACACAGTGCCTGCCTGGTACAGGGTAATCCCACAATAAATATTAGCTATTATGGTCGTGTGCTAGGCACACAGTAGGGCCTGGCAAAAACAGTGGTAAGCTGCGGTTCCACTTCTGAAAAAAACTAAAAGTGTTGGTGGAGAAACAGTTCACATAGGGGGAATGACTCCTAAGGTGAGCATCCTGTTTGGAAGAGGGCTGCTGAACGTTCTCTTGTCCGGTCACAGTGCTGTACGGTGGGAAAACTACTACGATGACTGACTCACAGTCAAACAGCTGGTGTAAGAGCAGAACTGGTCAGGAATTCAGATCTCCCGGCTGCCAGTTCGGTGTGCATTTGGTTTGTTTCACCATAACTTCCTATGGACAGGCAGTCCCATGGTCAAGGAGCTGACGCAAAGGCGTCCAGAAGCGAACCAGGAGTCAGGGCCTCCTTGGAGGCGTGTGTCAAAGTACAGGAACAAAAGCTAAGAAAGAAAACAGCAGCCCACTTGGGACAAGAGTTCATAATTCTGGTCTCTCTGTACCTGGCAAGGATTTGGGTCTGCTCTGTTCCTTTCTGTATCCCCAGCATCCAGAAGTGTCCCCGGTACAGCGCAGGTAATCAGTAACTATCCGTGAATGAAGAAATGGGTTAGATTAGGTAGTAGGAGTGTCCTGCCTACACGGCAGGAATGTGTTCCATCCTGAAGTGAACATGCTAGCCATGAGGCAGCTTCTGTAGGAGAAGATGCTATTACCTGGCTGTGGTTTCTTTTGCAATCCTGTCTACTGCCATGGTGCCAAAACATCCCAGTTTACTAAGGACAACAGTGCCCGCAGCCATGACCTTGGCACCTTTACCCAGTCTCATCTTTAGAAGTTCATCGTGGAAACAATGGTGGAGTGGAGCCATGCCCTTTACCTCCTCGCCTAAGTGCAGCTGGAATGTGCTGACCCTAACATGTAGCAACTTTGTAAGTGGTGATGGACACAGCAAGCTGGAGGAGGGGAAGAATCCTCATGGTCCCCACCCCCTTGCCAGAAGCCTGGCACCCACCCTTTCTGCGGGGGAGAAAGGGTTACCAGCAACATTCCCCCAGCAGCTCCAGGCACCGCAGTCACCTGATTCCCTAAACTATCACAGAAAGAGCAAAGAGAAGCCTGTGTCCTCTGTCCTCTATTGTTCTCCACTCTCAGCAAGCAACTTTCTGGCTCCTCAGGAGGCACGGAGCAAGAGAATAACCCGGGGAGCCTTACCAAGCCAGAAAGAGATGGCAGGCACAACATGTCACTATTTAAGTTATTAGGAATTAACTAGGGAAGGGCCAAGGTGACCCTCAGTGTCCTCCATAACCTGGACTTGTGCCCTCAGGATCAAATTCAAGCCACAGAACCTGGCATTTTCTTGGACACGGTGATCAGGATGGGAATCAGGTGATTCTCTCTCCCCAGCTGCCTCCATCACACTGTATCTGGCCTGGGTGGCGGCACAGGAAAGACAAAAAAGGAAATGACAGGTGTCGGCTGTTTGGAGCCTGGCCCCAGCAGCACAAGTGTGTTGGCCCCGACGCCCTGCCAAGTTGCAGCTGAAGATTCAGACAGGGGCAAGGGTAGAGATGATTTGGGAGACAAAGGTGGAAACACCACAAACCGACGGAAGCTAAGGAAGTAATGCTGGCACAAGAGAAGGAAGAGGGAGGAGTTGGGGAGAGAAAGGCCATATCCAGGCATATCAAATTTAGGAAAGAAAAGCAGCCGGCATGGAAAAGGCAGGAGGGGGAGGCCCTCTAAAGCCAGGAAGAGCACAGGGCTTAAAAAGCAAAGCAGGGAGTGAGTCTGACTCAGAAGATGAGCAAAATTTAAGGCCTAAGAAAATATTAAAGGGGAGTTGGTGTGAATCTAGAAAGACGAACTGGACCCCAAAATTCACCTCGCCTCTTAGGAGATTTAGTTGACTCTGCCATATATATTGTCCATTCCCAGATTTCATCCACACGTCCTCCAGGGGAGGGGGCGAACTCACATAAGGACATTCTTAGAGCTCGCCCCGCTCCAGCTTGAAGCCCTGCCCCTCTGGCGACCCCCACCCCTACCCCACCCCGTGCAGTCGATCACTCTGACCCTGTGGTTCCTCTGGACATCTGTCCCTGCCCCCGGCGCACAGACACTCACGCAGGTGCGCAGGCAGGCGGATCGAGTCTTCCTCCATCCTGAGCGCTCGGGGCACTGGAACATGAAGCGGAGTCGAGGAAGGGTAACTCGGCACCGGGCTCTCGGGAGGTGTATATGAAATTCGCTCCTGCTGTTAAAAACAAGGGCAGGAAGAGGGGAGAGGGGAAAAGACAATGAACGCTTGGAACTAGGTGTAAAATCAGGGAGAGGGGTGGGAATAGAGGGGACGGGGCATCCGAGCACTGGCCAAGCAACCCCCTACCCTTTCTCTCGACACTGCCTGGTTGCGTTTCAGGCCTCCAGCTTTTGGGATTGATAACAAAACTCTGGAAAAGTTTAAAATAGGGCTTTTCCTTTGGACTCGGATCAATAGGTGTCATTTTTCTCTCTCTCTGTACTAGTGGTTTTGTTCAAGTAAGGAGGGGAGACAAGGCAGAGGAAATGAAAAAGTATGTCCTAGAGAATGGATTTAAAGACTGCTCCCAAAGATGACTTTTCCAAGTCACATAATTAATGTCACCAATACATTAAAACCATGTTTCCTCTTCTCTGGCAATAGCCCAGTCCAATCCGAGTACGATCCTGTACTCAGATCCGGGAGAGGTGCGTGCAAAGTGATGGGCTGTACATTTCAGATTTAGGTAATAAACATATGAGTAGGTTTTTCTACGATCTTTCAATCTTATTATACAACACCCTCCCAAAATATATACCCAATGTTTAAGTTTTTTTTCTTCATGGCAAGGAATCGTCTGTAACATTCATGGGTATCTCCTGGTCCCTTCGTTTTCTATCTCAGAATCAAGATTCCCTTTTCTTCTGAACGATTTCAGAGATTCAAAGTACCATCTGCATTTAAGAAAAGTACTATTTAACTGAAAATACTCATTCAACAGACAAGGAAAGGGGACGGTGGGCAGATTCACTATTTAAATTCAAACAGGCAGTGTGGTTTAGCTCAATTAAAACAACTGGATGGGATGGAAAAGATTATTGTTTGTTTGAAGTTAAAACATGGCTAATTATGGCAAGGAACCAACCACCTTAATAGGCCAGAAGAGCGGCGCGATGTGCCTCTTCGAGCTACATATCTACTAGTTTGCTCTGCAGGCCATGCACACTAAACATAACTTCCCGTTAGTTTCTGTGGTTTAACTGGGCAAAGCAAAGTGGGGCACACCGGATCTAAAAATAGGTTTGGGGAAAAAGAGCAGTCAAAAGCCATTACGAAAAGAGAAATCAGGAACAAAAGAAAAGTCACAGGTTAGAATAAAGCCGAGGGGTGGTTATGTTTTGGAAAGGCAGTTGTCTAACATCTTATATTTCATCGACTACGCAAAGGGGAGCAGGGGAGTCCCCTGGCCCTATGACCAAAGTAAGGCTTTTCTGCTCATACCCTGGAAAGTTTGGTGTAGTAGAAAGCCATCACATAAAATTCATTCAATTTTAAATGAATATATACATATTTTTGCAATTTCCGAATGGAATCACTATACCTTCCCTGAGGCATCCTCTCCCGGCAAATAGGGCATTGGGATACTTCTGTCTAAACATACCTTGTAAAGTTCCCTGGTGAATTTGTTAATTAAGGGTAGTCACATACGTGCTAAATCTCATTTCTCTATCAATCAAGATGTCCTATGAAAGGTCACCCAGAGGCGAAACCTTCAACTTCACTTTTCTTGAACTTTATCAAACATCACACATTTGGAGCAACTCTAATGTAAGGATGAGTTATATTTTTGGTGTTTGGTTGGGGGTTTGGGGGGGTGAAAGAGGCAAAGACATGAACACACATACAGGAGACATACAAATTCTGTTTAGGGGTTTTTTGAGGTAAAATAGGTTTTTAAAGCATCATAAACATAGTCTGTAACAATTCTCCATACGCTTCAACCCTCGAATAACCCCAGTCCCGATATATATCTAGATCTCTTATCTACCGTTAACTTCATTCCCAGAAATAGCTTTCTGTTTTGTTAGGGTTTTCTGTAGAAGTGAAACCGTTGATGAAGAAAACATGGGTCGGCCAACGAGTCTTTCAATGGCTTGGCATAGGTGCGAGAAAAAAAAGACGGCATTTCGTAATACGATGACACTCTCCTCAAAGCACGGAGAAACGCCTGAGATCCGATAACTCGTCTGTATGATAACAAGCCACCTCACCCCAGCTCCCTCATCCCTCACCAGCTCTACCCAGGACAAGCCGGGAGAAACCCAGTCCTCCAAGAGGATTCAACTTTATTTTGTGGACCATCCAGCTCCGGCCTACTCACAAAAGAGTGGAGCGAGGCACCACCTTTCAGGTGTGTATGTTCTGACTTGCTAACCAGTCGCTGTGCTGTGCCTTCATCTCGCCGTGCTTTCTCTGGGGCAGCCCCAGGGTCTGCAGTCCTTCCTGCATGGCCCGTCCCCGCGGCGGCACTGCACGCCACGCTGCAGAGCATCCACTGCGGCACTGCACGCCACGCTGCAGAGCATCCACTGCGGCACTGCACGCCACGCTGCAGAGCATCCACTGCGGCACTGCACGCCACGCTGCAGAGCAACCACTGCGACACTGCACGCCACGCTGCAGAGCATCCACTGCGGCACTGCACGCCACGCTGCAGAGCGTCCCTGGCACTGTATGCCTCCCTTCCCCCACATGTCCAAACAATTCTGGATGCAAACAGCTGTGCTATTCTATGATGAAACCTATAAAAAGAAGGCCAGAGACAGAGTGTAGACCCAGAATTCCTCTCATTCCTGATGATGGTTTCCACTCAGCAATATTGTGACCCCATAAACTGGGGAGACGGGAAGCTCTGTTGAAAAGGTTCAATGGAGAGAGTAGTCAGGGGAAAGCAAATGCACCTTTAGGGCCTCTAGTGATTTGCTAATGGTCATTACACACCTACCGCGACCCTGGGCTCAGCGGCCAGCAGAGTACAAGGGACCCCAGAAAGGATGTAGTCCAGTGTCTGGGCTCCTTTCCAAAAAGAACAAAACATACACCTGGAATCCTTTAACTTTCTTTTTGTTAATTTCTAGGGTGACTCACATAGTCCTGATTTTTCGATCTATTACTATAACCACGCACTCGGCATTCAGCACACTGTCATCAATTATAAAAATGAATCAAGTCGCACTCTCAGATGGAGACATCGAGACAGAGAGGCTTGAGGAGACTAACATCCGATTTCCCAAATAAAGGAAACCTCCTTATTCTCACAATGGCTTCCCTGGTCCCACCCCAACCAAGAGAAGTACAGGCTCACAGCCTATTCACCTCTAGAACACACACTCAGTCCAATGAAAACCAAAGGTGTTTCACTTTAACATTACGGAGGGGATAACAGTCTGCCCAAGAGGATTGTAACCACTGGTCTAATTAAACTAAAATGTTATAGACAGTGATACCGGTGCATTCAAGTGTTGTAGGGGGATAAACTGCCAGCGGAGGTCAATGATGTGACTAAAAATGCCGTGATGTGGTTACATTAAGGTTTGGATGTTGGAAAAGAACAAAACAGGCTGCTCTCACATTTGCGGACACAACCAACCAAACCAGCCGGCAGATCAAAAGGGAAGCACTGCCATTGCCACGGCCAAGTGTAATACCTGGGAGAAAGGTGGGGGCGGGAGGAGGAAGAGCAGCACTTAGCTCTGAAATGGGAAAATGAGGCTAAAAATAGTTTCAGGCAAGGAATGAAATGTAAATTTTACTCACCATTACAGAAAGCTTTCAAAAAATAAATTTAATGGGATGGGGAGTAGGGTCACTGTAAGCACAACTACTGGAACCAAAATGAGTTCTATTCCCTCTCTTCATCTCTTCACCAGCCACGAAGGGCCAGTGAAGGGCACCCACCTAATGCTGCTCATTTGTAAACCGGGTGCTTCGGAACCCGTGACTAGCAGGTCAAAGAGCTTAGACCTTATGTGCCGAGTAGAAACATGGCATTCCCCCCCCACCCCCACCCCATGCTGCATATTACAGAAGAGTCGAAAATCATTCTTATTACCAAAACAGTCTTTCCTATTCAAAATTATTCAAATCCTGGGATTCCCCCTAGTGCCTTATGCATTTGTTTTTACACCATTAACTCTGAACAGGCTGAAAGATTAAGAAATGTATAGCCTATTGCTAATGAAATGTCAACTTTCTGGAAATAAAGATGAAGCATTTCTGGAACTGAGAGAAACAAAACGAAAGTTTGGTTGTGCTTGCTAGACGATGGTTTGCAGGTAATTTCCAAGACGCCTGTGCTGCCGAGCTGAGACTGTCCTTGGTTTAGGATCCCCTTCCAGAAACAGTCCCACCTCCATGATAACTGCCTGCAGTACCGCAACGATGGTTTCTGAAGCCTGTGCATAAGCACTCAGGAGGAAGTGTCATGGAAACAGAGCGGTGACCGCGACCATTTGCTCTAGTGAAAATGCCACAGGTGCCCTTTGCATCCCGCAGCTCTTTGGCGTCCCAACACGGTGCTGAAACTCAGCAACCCAGACAAGATGGAACACAGCAGGCGCCAGACACAGATCGGTCACATGGGTTACACTCAGTATTTTGAGGGAAGGACTCTTTCCCACCCTGAAGGTTTTTGGGAAAGCTGATGCTGGTACTATAGTTGTTTCCTATAGATTGAACAGAAGAAATCTCTCCTCTGGGAAGCTATTTATTGAGATTTGCTAACCTAAAGTCTGAATATACTTTTATGTAAGTACCCTCTTCTGGCTGCAAAATGACTTAAGGTGGTGGCTTTGGCATTCTTTAAATATGTTTTCATTAACAAGCAAAAGCAACACATCACCACAAAAATGAGCAAGACTAAAATTTGAGCTGCACCATTCTCTAGGTTTTTGGCACCATGCACACAAACAGAAATACACGGAACCTAAACTCGTTCACTTGAAAAATTACATTGGATATTTTGTTTACTCCAAAATTTAGCAAGATCAACTCAAAGAACTTGAGAAAAGATGCCATCGGTGGTTTTCTTTTCATAATAGGCATCGTATACGCAGACCATGACATTTCGGGCATCTCCCCAGAAACAGGATACCTTAGGATCTGGGACACACCTCAGGATCTGAGGTGTTCAACTGTGAATGTTGAAGTAGAAAGCCAGATCCAGCTGCGATGCTGTCTTCCCACCCCACACAAGTTCCAGCAGACACCTATCAGTGGCCTGAGTCAGCTGTCCTCTTACTGTCCAGCTGCTCCGCTGAGACAAATATCCCTCTGGGTGCTCAGGCATTCGATTTTCACGACCCAATTCGTCTCTTGCTCTTAACATGCTTGAAATGATTTTGGGGGGAGATAGGAGTGGCCTGTAATAATTAGATGGGTAGGGACTCCTGGTCTCTAGGGCTTCCTCCCTTGGTCACCCAGATGCTCATTCAGCTGGGGAATGAGGTGAGAGGGTGCCCAGCAAACCACACTCACACTGACGTGGGCATCTTCTCAGGAGCCCAGCTTCACCAGTCTAAGGAGTGCTCTTGCTTTGGACACAGAAGATGGGTTCAGGACCTGAAATATGCAGACTCCTGCATATTTATATTTATAACTGAAATAGTCCCTTTGCTTCCCTTCCTGGCCTATTACATCCTAAACTCAGAAGACAGTGTATTGTGTTTGTCAAACACATACAGTGAAGTCAAAGCATCTTAAGTCTCCCTTTAGACCGGGACAGTGTTATCTGTGCACAGCGATGTGGTGAAAAGAAGTATTAGCAATAGACCCTGCAATCACGCACTGCGATACAAGGTCATCAAGGTATTTTCCTCTCATGATTGTTAGGAAATATTTCAGTATTCATCAGGCGTCCCCTCGGAGCCCAGGCTGTACTAGGGATGACAAATTCTGCCACCAGAACTCCCAGAATTTCCCTGATGGCCCAAATATTTAAAATTCTGTGTCAATCTACCCATAAATACCTATGAGTACTCACGCATACTACTATACTCCTCAGATCATGGGTCCCAATCTTAGTGGGAAAATGTAGTCACTGCAGGAAGTGGAGCTAGCATTGCGAAAGCCCTTGGAATGTGCTTCCTAGGAAGCCTTTATTCCAGCCTCACAATAACCCTGTAAGGAAGGCGGTTATCTGCACCGCACGGGAGGAAGCTGACTGAAGATCGCAGGGGCTGAGCAATCTGTGCAAGTCACCAGCCTGGGAAATAGGATACTTGCTATAAAGAGGAAACATAAGAAATGACATTTAAGTAGCACCGGCTGGTCCACAACGGACTCACAACTTATGGGGAATCCCAAGAGACAAATTCAGGCTTGTAAGAATTGTCGCAGTTTGGGTTTATTTCATTGCTTTGCGCCCTCAGAATTCCAGTGGGGTTTGGAGGGTCACTAAGTCAGGCAGCTGACTTTTTTATGCCTGTTGCTTATCGTGTGGGGAGCATAGGGGGAAAGGAATCAATGCATTTAGCTGCAAGAAGAGGACCAAATACAATGTGCTGGAGGAGTTCTCTCGAAATGATATCTGAGCAGGCGCAGCCATTAGAATTCACCCAGGGATGCACATCGGTAGTGGACAAGATCGGCAGGGCCAACCAGGCACTTACAGATTTCTTGTGCATATGATGACTTCAACTTGTATAGATATCTCAGCTTGGGTAATTTTCCAGTAAAAATATGTTACTTTTTTAAAAAATATTTTTTTCTTCATTGATTTTAGAGAGAGAGGAAGGGGGAGAGAGAGAGAGAGAGAAACATCATTGAGAGAGAACATCAATTGGCCACCTCCTGCATGCCCCCCACTGGGGATCGGGCCCACAACCTGGGCATGTGCCCTGACCGGGAATCAAATCAGAGACCTCCTGGTACATGGGTTGACGCTCAACCACTGAGCCACACCAGCCGGCCAAAATATGTTACTTTGGTCTCTGATATTTTCTTTAACAACAACAAAATATATTTCCCATACTCAACTCCTTTCATTTATCCAAGAGCAGCATATCTAAACGTACAGGTGAGACAAACAGGAGCCGTGAGGAGGAAAGGCCCCGTCAACGTCCACTTGGAGGCTGCAGTGTGCAGAGTACATATGGACCAAGGAGGAGCTGAGTCGGCCTCCAGAAATCACGTGGCCACAGTCCAACAATCTTCTCCAACGGCAGAACATGCAGGCTCCCAGCCTCTCAAATGAGGACGGGGTGAAGGCACTAAGGACACACGTGACCTGTAGCATCTCAGAGGGCAGGGCCAGCAACTTAGACCTGTGACCAGAAATATATGTGACTTATTGTTCCCCCAAAAGCCGACTTCCGCTGGGACAAGAAGGTGACTCTACAAGGGTTTTCTGCACTGGGAAGGCACTGAGGTGGAAGCTGAAAATGCCTTATAACTCCAAGATGCTGCTTCTACACAATCTTACTCTCTCCTGGCAAGTCAGAGGTTATTCATTACAGTGTGTGCAGAGCAGACCCCAACAAAACACGAACAACACAGCCTCCTTCTGTGTTAATTAGTCCCCCAAGTCCCCTCACAGGATCCTAGGTGCTACCAATATAAACAGAAAAGAGCAATGTGTCTAAAACTAGGAACAACCCCTTTAGAGACAAACCCCCCAAAGCAAAACTCTCAAGTAGATTTCTTTATTGTTCTAATTTTAAAACATTTTACTTAATTAAGGTCCTTTCCAACCTTGAGATGCTATGAATGTTTTTTCCCCTGAATTTCTCAAAAATTTCTGACATGAATAGTAAGCAGAATCTCAAGCTGTGATTCCTTTTCACGCCAGGTTGTGGTTTCTAGGGATGTGTTTGCTTGAAGGGTGCTCAGCTTGTTTGGCTGGAGGCCTGTGCTGATGCAGATGAGGTCACAGCGCAGGCTCGAGACCTGGGTCGGACAATTACACGTGTGTCACTCCAAGCCCCAGACGACACCTCTAATCCCCGCCACGATGCAGATGATTGCTTTCACTCCGAGTGGAGATTACGTGAGCTCAGCAACACACATCATCGCTCCTGGAAGCCCCAGGAAAGTGCATGTCCTGCTGAGAACAGGTCACTTCAGTATGAGAAAGGTGGTGTGACTTTATTTATACAGAAACAGCAGGCACTACTTCTGGGAAAAATAAAGTCTTGCTGTTGGATTTAGCCAAAAATGCCCCTAAGCTTTTGATCAACCTTTTGAAAGAGGGTCATTAAGTCCTTTCTTCTTAATTTTAATAGCAGAAGAAACAGGTACTTAAATTAACAGCAGCTTACATCCTGGGCTCAACAAAGTGGCCAAGTACAGCTCTTTATTAGCAGCTTTCTCCTCCATTAATGCCAGTCCCTTTAATGGTTTGGCTATTACAATGAGCCAATCTGTGGTGTCCCTGCCTGAGGCTAACGAGTAATGAACTGAGAGAGTTGCTATTTAGTTGTATCAAGGGTGCCATTAGAGAGGTTTCTCAATTTCTCCCCCCAAAGGAGAGATACCTTCCAGGCATGTTCTACCTGCCATGTGACTGCCCTCCTAAAGAATTTGCAGTGTCCCCACCCCGGAGAATCATGGGACCTTAAAACCTGGGCAGAGGAAAGGATGAAGGTCAGGCTTCTGCAGAGCCCACAGGCAGAAGGAGCCCGGACAGTTGCTTCGAACCTGTGCATTAACCACGAAATCCTCCCTCCTTTCCTACCTTCCCACCTGCTGTCTCTCCCCACATCCCACCCCTCGCCCCAGCAGCTTTCTGCTTTCTGTTCCATCACTCTGGGCTTTGCTCATCTTTATCTGCTTCTTGAATGGCTGTATCTGGAAGTCTTGCAAAAGGAAGACCGATAAAGAGAAGCTATAGCTCAAACCCACAATCCCAGCCGATCACTGGGGGTGGTTGGAAGGGAGGCAACTCAGACCTCCTTTCCAATTAAAACGATGTTTGCCCTGTGCTTTATCCTAAAGATGTGTATAGCTTCAATGGACCACATGCCTGATAAGAAGGTTTTAAAGACTCTGATATGAGAGCAAGATTTACACTCTAATTCACATGAGGGTAATCCACAGAAATTCCCCGATTCTATAAATGGCAGCCCCAAGGAAGCTGTTTGCATGAAGTCCTGCACGGTCCTAACTGGATCCAGCCCAGTTCCAAGGGGCCAGGAGACTCCCCCGCCCCCACACGCCCCCATCAGTAAGGAAGAAGGCTGGGCCACACCACCACCGCACCCACACTGAACAAAGCCCCCTGCTCCACATATATCAGATAATTCCTGGATTGCCTCGGGCTGAGAAAATAAATAGAAATAGAAAAAGGCCTTGTAAACTATACCTAGAGTAACAAGCGCAAATTAGATCTGGAAGAGATTTAGATCTCTGCAAAATGTTTACTCCCAGAATAATTTTCAGTGAAACCACAGAAGAGCACTGTGCTTACAAGGCCAAGTGAGAGAAGTCAGCGGGCCTCAGTGCTGCCGCCTGGGGAACGGCATGGCGGCGCCCCCCTTTCCCGCGGGGTAACTCACCGCAAGGAGAAGTGAGGTGGCGCTTGTGAAATGCGAGTTTCTCGAAACGAAGGTTCTCTACAAATGCCAGGCATTACTATGATACGTTTCAAATAAAGCATTCCTTTTCATGTATGCTTTAATAATTAAACTTGTCTTTTGGTTGAAAAATGAATAATGAACTTAACTGAAACAAAGACTGAGACAATGACCTCACTGTGTGACTGACTGAGGAATTAGGGCTGAATTGATCTTTCTCCCCCCAACCTCTGTAACTCTAAAAAGGAACATTTAAACATCAAACACTGATTAAGAGTGTCACACATCTGTGTTTCCTCTTTTAGAAAAGCTTTTCCAGAAGTAATAACCATCTTGGCAAGTCATTTCTACCTCTGCTTGTCAAAAATCACAGAAATTCGATTCTTTTTTTTTTTAATCCTCATCCGAGGATTTTTTTTTTTTTTTTTCATTTATTGGTAGAGTAGGAGGGAGAGGGAGAGAGAGAGAAACATCAATATGACAGAGAAACATGGGCTAGTTGCTTCCCACATGACCCCAACCAGGGCTGGGGACTAAACTGCAACCAAGGTACGTGCCCTTGACCAGAATCGAACCCACAACTCTTTGGTCCTCGGGCCGACACTCTAACCGCTGAGCCAAACCGGCCAGGGCCTGATTCTTAAACACAAGACTCCTAATAGAAACTCAGGCATCTTCCCCTTCACTGTGGTCACAGAAAGAGCTGGGAGTTTTGTTGTTGACAACTGTTTACTGAAAACAAGTTTTGCTGAGAAAGTGACTATTACTTTGAAAAATGCCGTCCGCAACAGTACCATTCTAAAAACTTAATGACAAGCAAGACCGAGATATAAAAGTGTGTGTGTGTGTGTGTGTGTGTGTGTGTGACGGCACCAGTGAGTAACAGAATACTAGTGGCCTGAAATAATAAGGGCTGTGATGCGCTGCCCTCTTGCAGCCCTGTTGTTAAGACCGGTTGATAGTTCACGTTACGTAAGGTCCCTGCCTTCACTAAAACGCTTAGTGCTCAACAGTACATGACAAATATGCTCGACTTTCCACATACTTCAGGAACTCAGGATCAACGAACAGTTCAGGAAACACACATTTTACATCAGGTATTCTGAATCTTGGCTGCACACCAGAATCATGTGGAGAAGCTTTAAGAAAAAAAACAAATCCCAGTATCCAAGTAAATCAGCCTGACCAATATTTTTAAAGCTCCCCCTGTGATTCCAATATGCAGAGGAGTACGGATGAGAATTACTGTTTTAAATCAAGACAGAAATAAGACAGTAAGTCAAGATACATGTTAAATGATTACCTTTCACAACAGGTGTTTAGAAACTTTACTAATCAACTTGCCAACTGTCCTTCCCTCCTGAGTAAATTGCTACTGTTCTGCTTTTAACCAGAAAATGGAGATTATCAGTGTGCGGCAGGCAGTGTGTTACCTCGCCAGTACACCAACAACTGCTCAGACAGGTGTGTCTGCAGTGGTTCCCATTCCCTCCCAACTGCCTCTGGAGTTCCCCCATGCCCGCCCCCCCCCCCCGCCCTTTCCCGGGGACAGCTGATCAGCTGCACTTTGTGCAGCTCATCGGGGAGCCTGTGTTCCCAGCACTGGCTGCACTGTGTGTGGCAGGAGCAAGACAAGGTTAATGAAGGAGAAGTGAGAAGGAATGAAAACCCATTCCACTCTGGCCTGCCTTCCCTTCCCCCTCCCACCCAGAAGGCTGTCTGTCTTCCTGTGCTCACGCCCCAGACCCTCTTCTCCTGCTCAGAACGAATCCCCATCCAGTCGCCTGGAAGCTGAAGAGCCCCTTTCCCGAGGTGAGGCGCATGGGCCCAGAGGTGCGGTCAGGGCTACCTGGGAGCCATTCTGTAGTGGCGACTGGGACATGGGTTTTTTCTCCTTCATAGTAACCTTGGCACTAGTGGTTAGGTCTTTGTTTTTGCACAGTGAACGATCAACTGATTATAATTGGAAGAAATACTTTGAACTCTGGGTGGTTAACTTCTTATTAAAATCTTAGAACCCTAAACTAGTTGAGGTAAAGAGCCTGCTAAGGTGCTTAATCAAGACAGTGTACAGTCCTCCAATGACATGCTGCTGTGTATCTTCCTAACACCCCTAGAGTCATGTCACCAGAATTAACACAAAACCACGTGCCAGAGGTAAGAACTGAGGTCGAAGGGATAACAAGATTCTTGAATGAATCACCAGCAGTCCTTAACCCAGAGTTGTCATCTGTCCCGTTACCTTCTGTTCAAAGTCTGGGTTATCATGGCAGTCTATGTAGCAGGTGCCTCGGGGGGGAGGAGAGCTTATTGTAGAACTCAGCTGACCTAGTTATTCATCCCTTGATAAAAACAATCTTAAAAAAACAACAACAACAAAAAACCCACTGGAACTTAAAAAACTCAAGTTCTTCTTATTAAAAAATATTTCTGCAGTTTTGAAGCATTTTAATGTTATTAGCATTTTTTTCCTCTTCTTCCTTTAAGCAAAATACACTGTTCTAAAACAGTGGTAGATCTGTGACATGAATGCGGCGTCACCATCTGAAACTCACTCGGGTTGAAGCTACTTGACTGGGCAGTGATTCGCTCGCCAGCGGTTTGTGTCCCGGTCAGCCTCACCCGGGTGTCGGCGATAGTTCTAACACAGAGACTAGAAAAATAAAGTAGTCGACTCTTCAAAAGCCTTGAGGGTGTTACATCTAGATTACAGGACAGACACTGATCATCTCTGCATAACTCTGAATGTACTAAGACCCGAATGAAAATCCCATTCATTTCAACACTGTCAATAAACACTTTCTAGTTCAATAAAGATGTTTAGAGAACTTCTTACCATTGAAAGTAGGTTTTTAACTCGATCATCCTGACTCACAACTGTAAGCAGTTCCCTCCCATCCATGGGCTCAGCTGCAGGTACCGTAACTCAGGGCTTCCCCTCCTGCCTCTCCTCAGGTCTCAGACCACGTGTCGTCCACCCCCCACCCCCAGGTCTGTACCTGCCTGACCTTCCCAGCAGACCCTGACCTTGAGTTGGGATCTAGGCCTCAACTTCACAGTTCCTTGTTTCCTGGTCGATGGTTTGCTGGAGCCTGGACTTGGACTTTTCTGTGTCCACATCCACTGCTGGGGCCTACCTCATCTTCCCCTTTCTCTCAGACCCCCAAAACCACACTGAAGTCCCAGGCCCTCCTACTCACCCAGGAGCAAAGGCTGTCAATAGCAAAACACTCCGCAGGAGCAGGGACCTTGGCTGTCCTGTTCACACCACATCCGAGTGGTGCCTGCTGGCTCACAGTAGCACTCGTTAAGTATTTACTGAACGAATGAATGAGCCTCATTAGACAATCTCACAGGGCTTCTTAATGCCAACACAAACTCATCTTTTGTCCTGTGTTTTTCCCTAGGGCCATTTAGTGACTTATTGACAAAGTTTTAGGTCCAACTGTCTACATAAAAATCTTGCTACAAGCTGCCAGCCCCGCCCCATCTCCTACTTCTCTCCAGGACACACATTTACTGCCCAAGTATCTAGTTATTTGACTTGTTTTCAGGACTTATTCCGGGAGGTTACAAGTCCCTAAAACACTGTACTACTACAGTCTCATCCCATCCACTCTGCTGCCTAACGAGATAGATATTCTATAATGTGTGTACACTTATTCCAATGATGTCATCATTCTTCTAAAGTCCTTTAGAAACACCTCTTTTAGGACTTTCAGAGCCAGTTATAGATAATGGTTTATTGCTGTTTCTTATATCTGACCAAAAACCTTACTCATCACACTCAACGCCAAATGATTTTGGCTATTTCCAAAATTTAAAAATCCATGTCAAGGACCCAAGTTGTTTGTTACTCTAATTCTCTATGTAATACTTCTCTCCAGCTAGACTTTAAAAAGTGGTGGCACAGTCTCCATTTATGTTGTTGACTCCACTCCCCCAGCACAGGGCCCGATATACTGTAGATACACAACTATTGCTCGGTGAGTGAGTGAAAGAATGATCTGAAGACCTTTCTAAAAGATTTTTCTTTTATTCAACAAATACCTGCCTGGAACTGCCAGGCGTTGAGAACATAGAGATGCATAAGGGGGGAAAAAATCTCTATCTTCTTTAAGGAGCTTAAAGTGTAGAGGGGGAAAAAACTTAAGAGGAAAGAAAAACAAACTGTTATTTACCATGAACTCTTCTGTAACAGGAACATATTTATTTCACTTAAATTTCCCAGCAATCAGCCCTGGCCGGTTTGGCTCAGCAGTTAGAGCGTCGGCACATGCATGGAAGGGTAGTGGGTTCAATTCCTTGTCAAGGGCACGTACCTGGGTTGCAGGTTGGATTCCTGGCCCTGGTTGGGGCATATGCGGGAGGCAACCAATTGATGTGTCTTTCTAACATCGATGTTTCGCTCTCCCCCCTCCCCCCACCATTCTTCCTTCCCATTCACTCTTTCTAAAAATCAATGGAAAAAAATATCCTCAGGTGAGATTAACAAAAACAAACCAACAAACAAAAAGTCCCAGCAATCAAATAAGCATGACATTTTAATCCCCACTTTTAAAGACTAAGAAATTGGGATTTGGGGATTCAGCAATGTTCTATAAATTGCACAGGGTTAACAAGTGGCAGGCTGGTCTCTGAACCCAGAGCCTTTGGACAGTAAAACCAAGGTCCTGCCTTCCGTGACACCAAGCAGGGCGTGTACAATTGTCTTTTGAAGTGACTACTTTTGAAACTCTGAAAGGACCAGACTTCCATGGACATTTGAGCGCTGGTATGGGTATCCATCCCCTTTCTTAGCCTTACTACACACCTCTGGAAACCACATTAGTTTACACACAAACTCCCCTCTCACTGAGAAGTGCTCCCAAGACCAGCTCCCTTGCCCGAATTCCCACATGCATCAAGAAGCAAGGCCTGACTTAATCAAAGGTCCATGATACCATCAAGCATGGGGGTGATGGTGTGGAAGTTGCCCATCTTGCTCTAATAATGAACACATTTTACTTCTTACATTGAAGTAACTGGTTCTTTGCTAATGACACCTCTTTCCCAATTAGTTCCATAAGCATTCAGGGGCTCCGGGGCCTGGTATGATCTGTCGGGAGGAGAGCCTGGTATGCTTATTCAGTCAGTAGCCACTCAGTGTGTACTTGCTCCCCTTTACTTACAACCCTTTCTATAACCTCAGAAATGAAACGGAGGGTGAAAGATGAAAATAAGGTGCTCTGTCAGGAAACATGGTGTAGGCACAAGGGCTAAGGGAAAATGAAGAAGTAAATAAAATATATTTAGTGCCTCCCATGTGCCAGACACCTAACATATGACACCTTTCTGTTTTATAAATGAAAAACAAAACAAAACAAATCTCAGCAAGCTTAAAGAACTTGTTTTCCAATGTCATACAAGAAGCGGTGCTAGAATTTGAATCAAGGTATGTCTGATTCCATAGCCAGGATCCTTCTACATTTTCTCCCCAAAATGAGGAATAAGGATCTGTGACAAAATGAAAGTGGTACTTCCACAAAATCATGGAAGATGGTAACAAATCTATTAGAAAGTCTTGGAAAGTTCTAGTGTTTCACATGATGACTGCAAACCTGGAGTGGGGCAATTAAAATATTCTGACATCCAGGATCATGGACGTAGGCCCAGTGTCAGGGTGTCCTAAGAGCAAGCATTGCTCGGGGTCCTCCAGCGGCCGAAAAGGAAGGAATGTGTGTGTCAGGTGCACCTGCAGAGCCCTGGCCGCTGCCCACTTCCTCCCTCACACTGACAAAGCAGCCCATTCAAACAGCACAGTGGGACATGGCCAAAAACGACGGGGTGGGGTGTCGTGGGTAGAGATGCCCTCAGAATGTGGAAAGATTTATGCTTAGAGGAAGATGTCCTCCTTGTGAATAGAGTGTAGCAAAGAAGATGATATGTTTTCTTTTTGAGCTCTCCTGCTTCCTATTTCCTACTTCTTTCCTCACAGTACATTCGAACAGAGAGGGGCCCTAGGAATTGAGACCAGCATCCTCATTTCACATATGAAAAATCTGAGACCAACAGAAGTATCTGAAATCACACTTCTTGTTTCAGAAATCAGGTAGGTATCAGTTCTTGTTTCTGTTTTTCAGCATATACTATAGTAAAGAGAGACGAGGTAGACAAAACAACAACAAAACAAGAAGCCAGAATTTTTACTCTGTAGACATAAAGATATCCCTATTTAATCTCGAATTTTCCTAACTCCAGGAATGTGTGCTTTGACTCTTCTTCAGCATTAAACATTTGTACTGCACATTCACAAACGGCTGCCTGGGTCGTTTCTGAAGCACCTGGTCAGGTAAGGACTGTGGGTGGGAGGGTTTCTCTTTATGCCGGGCTCCCTGCACTGGTCGCCTCCTTGGCTTCGACCAACTATCCTGGTTTGCCTGGGACTGAGGGGATTCCTGGGATGTGGGATTTCAGGGGCTAACACCAGAAAGTCCCAGGGAAACCAGAAAAAGTTGGTCCCCTACAAGCCGTCTTCAGTAGGGCCACCTTCTCAATGGAGCTAAAGGACCCAGACAGCTAAAATGCATTTAGCTGGAAGTTTTTGCTGGTCTGACACCAGCTACATGCCAGTTAACAGTTCAAGTCTTTAGGAAGCAGGATGAAGATTAATGACTATAAAGGGCGTTGAGCCCTTGGGGAGGAAGGTTTTCTCAAAGTAGGAAGTGTTAAGTCCATAGAAGAAACAGTATGAGAATGCAGTGGGGCTTTTTCATACCTAACAAGTATGACTAAACCTCTGAACACTTCCTGTTCCGTCCCATGTTTTTCTGAAATTTGCTTTTCCTTATTGGCCAAGAAGGTGGTGGTGGTGGTGGGGAGGGGTTGTTCTCTCTTCTCTTCTTAAGAATAACAATAGGGAATTTCACAACCTCCAAAGACTTCTAGTTTAGCAAGCTCTTGCTTTCACACAGAAATATTACTGGAAATCAAACAGCATTTATTTTTTTTCTCCATGAACATCCTAAACTCTGGCTACGTGTAACTTCGGGTGAGTATAAACCACCTGATTAGGAAAGCACCCATTCATTCAGCCATCTAGATGTTATTTTGTATCAAAACAATTTTTTTTGGTCAAACACTGTGCTGGGTGCTGACAATATAACACTAGATAAGGAGACTATGTTTTTATGTCATATATCACACTATCCTAAAGATTAAAAACTGCCTTCTTAGGTTTACTCATTATTGCTGTGGAGGAAGAGAGCCACTCCTAACATAAAACTTCACCATTAAATGGTCCTGCCCAGGCAGCACTTCCCATTCCAAAAGAGCAGTGCCCCAAATCAGTCTCACTTTCACCATTTCTGGGTCGCCAAATACACTGGAGGCACTCGGCCTAGAACAGGACAGAAAGGATGTGAGCCGAGCAGGGGGTTATACCAGGGCATATGTCAGTGGGTTCCCTTACTCACAAGAACAGCTCAAAGCTGCCCTGTATCCATACATATTTGGGAAAGATGTTCTCCTACCTCTTCCAATTTTCTGGAAGTAAGATTTGAACAATATCAAGTAATATTCTAGGGAAAAGTAATATTCTGTGGGATGGGGGGGCCATGGAAAAGACTTTCCGTCTTTCTACTTCCACTCTAATGCGTTGATTTTTGTACCCTCAACAAAAGAGGAAAATTAAAATCAAGATCACACACCCACCCACTTTCTGCAGTGGAGAGAGATGCCTACACCTCTGCCCGTAGGATGAGGTCTAGAGGGCTGCAGCGACAGGGTGACAGAACGGCAGAGCAGGAACACCTGTCAGGAACTCCCAGCTACATGGCCAGTTCAGGTGACAATGCCACCTCACCACGGAGTCCACAGCCACTGCACTCAGCTCGCCCCCTGGGCCACAATGGACCGTCTGCCCTTGGTTAGCACGCTGGGCCCTGCCCGTGTGCGAGCCTCCTGGAAGTTCCCTGGGCTTAGGTGACTCTCACCTTTGTGCAACTACAGTGGCTTCTCTGAGTGTGGCAATCCCAGACCAGGAGCCTTACTGGACTCCTCTGTTTATCCAAGACTTGTCCAGCAGGTTAGGCTGCTTCTCTGCTACCTTTTTCTCCCAACACCTTTAAAATGCCGAGATATCGGGAAGCAAATGAAGAACAGGGTTTTCTCACCATAATTCCAAAGACGTACGGAGGGTTGCATAGACCACAGGCGTTGCTGAGGACCTGTTGCTGTTCTCTTAAATGGTGGAATGTTTTTAAAGATTGTAAGGGAAGAGTTGTCAAAAGTAAGGTCAAAGTCAAATGCACTGTGTCTCTATCACTACTGCTGGCCTCTTTCCAGAGAGAGTAAAATGCACCCCTTGGAGCTGGCAGCAAGTCCTGTGGTTGTGTCAATAGTGATTTTCTCTTGCACAGAAAATCCTCAGCAGCACATAGATGTTCATAAACTTCCCTCTCTATTTTGCAGATCTAGAAAAAGTGGTGGAAAGAAATTAAATGCCTTTGTGAATCAGCAAAAAAAAAGAAAGAAAAAAAAAACCTAGGATAGAACCCAGGGCAGCTAGTCTTCCTGCTTTAACCCACGTATCTGGCACACCACAGGGAAAATGGTTATTTTTCATTACAAAAGAGACAACCTTCAACTTTAGACATGTAAGGTTGAAAAAAAAATCTTAAAAGACAGTAGTTATTTTGTGGAGAGAAGAATTCACAAAACAGTAGCCCTGAGCTGTTCTTTCCAGAGGTCAAGATGGTATCTAACCAAGGTCAAGATTGTACGAACCAAGAGTTCAAAGGCCATTATCTTCCCTCATGGTATGAGTCAGTCACAGCGAGACCGCCTCAAGGTTCAGGAGGAAATCATCAAACTGCCAGCAGTAGCACCAAATTAGGACTGGGACACTGGCTACTCGGGCCACATGTCCGTTTCCATTCATAGTACCATAGGTGACCCAGGGAACAACCCCCTCGTAGCCTGGGAGAGGCCATTTATTAGGCATGAACCCACACCTGCCCCTGCACATGCAACCCAGCCCCCACCTGTTCCAACATGGCTGCCCAGCAGCTCCAAGGACCTTCGGAGAGATTCTCCAGTAAGGCACATGGCCTTTGAACAGGTCTCTGCTCCTAAGGCTCCCACCCACAGGAGCATACTCACAGTATACCCAGAAGATCAGATAAAATCCTGAAAACATGGGCAAAGTTCAACCGACAGCTGCCCCTTCTAGGCCACGAACTGGCACACCTGGCCACTTGGCACCCGTTCCTTCCTTTAGCAGATCGTACCTGCCTGAGCAGGAAACGGTGATAAGGCTGAGGCTGCAATGGTTTCTCACATTTGAACAACTCAGTTTAGAAACAGAACCTTAACCTGCTGCAGATCAGTTCAGAGGGGTATCACAGAGCCACCAAAAACAACAGAGAGGATGCATGTCACCGTGTTTGGTAAACCCTCAAGCCCTACATACAATATTACACGTTGTTATTTTGATATTAAATAATGCTAAAGTAGAACCTTGCATTGCAAATGGACACCGATGGCAGCAGTGGAATAACTATGTGAGCACATGCATAAAGGCTTGAAGACGTCAGGTGCAGCCGGTTGGTTATTATGTAAAAAGGCTCAATTAAAAAAAATCTTTTAAAGTGGCTTACACATTTAATAAACGATAAATACGTTGAAATAGTACCCTTTAATTATAAACGTATACAACCCACTTTGAGAGTAAAACTAGTGTCATAAATCTCAGCTTCGAAGGGGATCTCCAGGTAGCCCCAAGGCAGCCCATCTCCTCTACCACCCACAGCAACATAAACAAATCTGATTTTTAAAGGTACAGACATACCAGTGCTTGCTAGTGTCTAACCCATCCCTCATGTACTCCTCTGTGCTAAACAAATTCCACCTCAACTGAAAGAGGAACAGACAGGCAACAGAAGACTACATACGCCCTGGGTATTGAATCACAGATCACCAAACCTTAAGCTGGAAACAGAGTGGCTTTCTCCCGCCAGGTCCGCTCCTGTAAGCCATCGGAGGGCCACTTGGTCGTGGTGCCCTGCACACTCCTGCAGACCACAGAGCCCTTGCGTTTCTTCCCAACACGTGTGATGCAGCCTGGACAGAACATGTGCTATAATGCTTTCTTCACCTTTCATAATGATGCAAAATAGGTTCATCCACCACACTTCCAGTCAAACCTTTTAACTGGGAAACCAGCTCCAAGTATGCTTGAGGCTGTTTTTTCTCAGCTCCTCCTATTTCTCACTTTCTGTGTCTTTCTTTAGGATTAGCACTCCTCCAAATGACTTCATGAGTGACACGGATGAGGGAGATGAGGACCAAAGTGATGTAAAATGATCGAAGGGAACATGGACACCACAAATGGAACAGGAAGCTCCCCGGTACACTGCCTCGACGAGGGACAGGGCCCTGGAAGGTGGTTTTTACGTGGGGCCCATGTCACAAAAGGTGTGCAGCTGTCTTGTGCATGAGTACAAATAGCCTCCGCAGCCTAGAAGATGCAGGCATGTTTGTGGTCTATAAGGTTCTTTCTATGCCGCTCTCTCTATTGGGGGAGTTGGACAAGCTCCTCCGCATTCAACAGCCTGTTATCTGGGGTGGTGTTCAGATACACATGCAAAGGCAAGCTACCAGTTCAAAGCTGCAAGGCAGGGCCTCTGCTCCTCTGCCCACCCACAGTTTACCTGCCTTTCACAACATAATGTCTCTTCCCTGACCTCAAGTTCAAATCTTGGCACTGGCATTTACTAGCTGTGTAATTCTGCACAAGTGACCTGGCCCCTGAATCTCAGTCTCCCGGTCTGGAAATGGGAGATAAAGACGCCTATCTTGAAAGGCTGTGCAGATTAAATGAAGTGTGTGTGTGTGTGTGTGTGTGTGTGTGTGTGTGTGTGTGTGTGTGTAAGGCTCCTATTGCTGTATTAAACACACAGGAGGTGTGTTTCTTCCTTTCTCTGGCCTAAGTACTCATGTGTGTAATCCTGAACCTATCTGTACTTTTTAATTATTAGTTTTTTTTACCTAGTATCTAGATGGTGAAGAATTGTGTCATTTTAATGTTTTCTGTCCACTGTATGAGCTGTGCACACAGTGGGTACCCACTATGACAACTGTGGTCCAGGATATTGAACAAGGGCATTGTTTCCCCCACATCCAATAATATCTGGTAATGTTTCCTGAGGAAACAACTGTGAGTCTGGACACAGCTGATCGCCCCTCTGTCCCTTCTGCTCTTCATGCCCTTTCTTCCAAACAAATCCCTCCACTATTGGGCATGCCCTGAAGAACTCCCACATGTCAGGTTATCCATTCCTCTGATCACTTCTTGAGTACATAAACATACCCTGAGTAAGTACTCTGGACCAACAAGAGGAACCGTGGATCCATACCCAGACACAGAAATGGTACACATGACTCCTGCCGACCCTTGAGGTAACTGGAGGGAGTCAGATGGAAAGACAACAAACTCTCAAAATAATACAGTGCATCTGATGCGGAGGGAAGAGTGTCTATTTCGGTCCTGTGGGACCACGCAGAAGAAATCTTAATCAGCCTGAGAACACCATTCTGAAATTTTAAATAGATATTGCCTTTAAGACAGACCTTCAATACACTTGCTTTGTTGAAATAGTAGGTAAGAGGGAAACCCCATTCTGCTGTGTTACAAAATAGGTCTACATTTATTAAGTCAAATGTCATTCCAAAGACACTCTCAGGATTGCCAAGTCCTTGTCACTACCTTTTCTTGTGTTCAGCCATGTACACTGCAATACAAAAGAATTTTCCTGCAACTTAAACTTGGAATTCTGACCAATCCGTTCACACACATATTCATAGCATGACATGTAAGTACTTAGCACCAGACTAGGTGTTGAGTGAGAGGGGGAGAAAATGACAACGAAATATAAGTCTTAAAATCTCCCTGCCAATTCCTGGCAGCAAATGAATGGGTCCTGGAGGAAAGATGTGCCCTGACCCGAGGTGAACCTGACAGGGAAAACGGGCAGAGAAGTGGGGTGGTAGCCAGTTCACGACAGAAGAAATACATGGTCATAAAACTCCAGTCTTCCCAAGTGGGAAGTTGGAGGCCAAGGGCGGGAGGACAGGGCCTGTCTGCATGGACACTGGAGTAGCGCCCCCACACTGTGGTGTCCTGCAGCAAGGAGGGCCTCCCCACACAGCTTCATGCTGATGCTGATGCTGATGCTGATGCTGATGCTGATGCTGATGCTGATGCTGATGCTGATGCAGAAAATGGTTTGGGAAGCCCGGCCAGAAGTGGTTTGGGAAGCCTGCACGGGTCTCAGGAGTGGACCAAACAGCCAGACGAGCCCATATCTGGATACATATCTACCAAAAATACCTTAATGAACAACCTTAACAATTTTCTTTATTAACACTTTATTCCTAATATTTATCATTATCTCTTAGTCGTCCCTCCCCCAACTCTTTATTATTGTCACCAACTCAACCCTGTCTACTGACACTCAGAACAGAAATGAAAGCTTCCTGAAGCCCAGTTTATCTATCTCTGTATCCTATCCCCCACCCCCGATAGCACCAAGCACAGTGCGTGGCACACAGAAGACCCTTAATCAGTGTTTATGTGATACCCAATCATGGGGCAAGCAGAGAAACAATGAGAAAATGGACCCGTGAGACATCACAGATTCTCCCCCAAGTATACATTCTCCTGGTCTGCCTGGCACAGATCCAGTCCTCATGACTGACTCCAAATGCTAAAGACCATGAACATGCCTAGCATGGAAGAAAGCTTCCTCGGACACGCTCAGAAATATTCCCTTTCTAGGAGCTGCCTGCTAAAACGGCTGCACATGGAAACCTTAAACCTTGACGTAAGCCCTTGGCCACATCAACTGAGCAAAACTAGCCCCTATCAGGACCTGTCCGAAGGAAACCCGAGCTGCAAGGGTAACGTGAGATCCGGGCAGCTGACCTGCTTGCGATCTGCAGGCAGTCACAGTTAGTTGTGAGTTTAAACCAGCTGTAACTGGGCAATGCCTGACAACCAACTTCCCTGTGCGACCGAGTCAGGTGCACTGACAAGCAGCATCCCCTGAGTCGGGGGAGAGGAGGGAGGGAGCCAGTTCTGCTGGGTCAGGGAGCTGTAGATGGCCTGCTGTCACTCCAGGAACCCTCGGGAGTGCAGGTTCCACCCTTCCCAGCCAGGGGTCCCACACGCTTCCTGGATGCTCGAAAGGCGGCCTGGCCTTGTCTCAAGGAGTACAAAAAAATAATGACAGGTAGTCCGGGTAGCAGCCAGTGAAATAAAAGCTTTGTGGATGGCTGGTGATACCACTTTTGTTTCGGCATGTATGTGCCTGCAGTTGGGGACAGAAACAACAGAGGCTAAACTCACCAATGTGTCAGTCAAGGAGAAGCCAGGACAAGACAAAGAACCAGAGGGAACCCTGATGGGTGAATCCAGTTTGATTCACAAAGATGACAGGAACGCCCCGGCCGGCTCGGCTCAGCGGTTAGAGCGTCGGCCTGCGGTCCAGAGAGACCCGAGTTCGGTTCCCTCTAAGGGCACATACCTCGGTTGCAGTTTGTCCCCGGCCCTGATTGGGTCATGTGGGTGGCAACCGCTCAATGTGTCCCTTTCACATCGATGTTTCTCTCCACCACCCCCCCATCTGAACAAAAAATGGAAAAATGTCCTTTGGTGAGGATAAAAATTAAAAAAGAAGAAAACAAACGAACAAAAAAAGATGACAGGACTCATGTAATAAACATTCACCAAACCCCTACTATATGTCTAATACCACACTGGGATACTGGGATGAAGAAGACAGGGACAGTCCTCAAAGAGCTCATACTCTTTCTTTCTTTCTCTTTCTTTCTTTCTCTTTCTTTCTTTCTCTTTCTTTCTTTCTTTCTTTCTTATTTAGTTATTTGACTTTATTGAGGTGACATTGGTTAATAAAATTATATAGGTTTCAGGTGTACAATTCTATAATACATCATCTGTATATTGTATTGTATGTTTACCACCCCAAGTCAAGTCTCCTTCCATCACCATGTATCCCCCCCCTATATCCCTTCTATCTCCCCCTACCCAGAGCTCATACTCTTAAAGGTCACAATTAAAAAAAAAAAAAAAGTGTATTTTCTTTTTTATTTAGAATTTGATTAATTTTGTTACAATACAGTTTATGAAGAGCAAGACAAAATGAAAGGTAGGTAGAAGGGGAAGGAATAATAGAAGAGGAAGCTAAGAAGCAAGAACAGAGGGAGAGAAAGTGTGAGTATTCAATGTAATAATCCTCATAAAGTGCTCAGTCAGGTCCTCTGGCACAGGACTCATGAGCCATTCTAGTCGTCATTGTGGAGGGCCTATAACTGTGCCATGCTGGTCCATATTGAATACTTATGATACAGTAGACAATATTCTATGGGTTCATCATGTATTAAGTCCTTTAATGCCCACGACCCTATAAGATATTATCATTCCCATTTTACAAATGAGAAAACTTGGACATTAAGAAATTACATAAACTATAACCACCCCATCACACAACTATCAGATGAGAAATCTGGGATTCAGACTCAGGTAGTCTGATTTCAGAGCTCATCTTCTTATCTGTTGCACTCATGGTTCTCAAGGTGTGGTCCCTGGAACCTGGGACTTTTGAGATTTGCAAATTCTTGGTCCCAGCCCAGGCCTGTGAAATCAGAAACTAGGGGAAGGGCCCAGCACACTGCTTGTTAAAAGCCTTCTAGGTGATTCTGATGAAAACTAAAGTGAGCACCCCAGCATTAATTACATTATAGTGCTGGAGAATACAGTAGTGGCTAAATTGAAGACATAATAAAACACCTTACCCTCACTGTGACTGGCCTCGCTCAGCAATGGGCAAAGATCGCAATACTAGGGCCATCCATTTCCCTCAGTTTAAGGGGTAGCCCAGGAGTGAGGCTTGAGAGCGCAAACTCAATTCTCTGGATTGTCAGAGAAGTTGATTTGGCTTCTCTGACTTGATACTCTGATGTAAGAAGGCTACAAGGGGTGAGAATCCTTGGAGAGTCTCAGACTGATTTAACTCCGTCACTGCTTCCCAACTCAGTAACATGCAGTGTCCCAACCTATTTACCACTCGATTAAAAATGAAACTTGCAAAGGAAAGTTTTACTTCTGACGTGTTTATTTAGCTTCCGACAATGCAGTGCAGGTGGATTTGTCTGTTCTTTCTACTGGGGTTAATTCAATTATCAGAACCGATTATCCAGTTTGTGAATTACCTGCGCCTTCTGCGTCTCCCCTTTTGGCCATTTCACTGCTCATTAGCACCTCAACTGAGGATAAGCAGGGGAGGAGAAAAGGTGAGGGAACGCGAGCCAGTCGATTTTTCTCCTTGTTAGCAGTTCTGGTAGACTTGGTGGGAGAAGAATTGTTATTGGCTAAAATGAGACATTGGGGTTATCTATGGCTTTCTATT